ATGGGAAAATAGTAAAAGTGCTCCACGTTAAAGATCACATGGAGGTTAAAATAAAAATTCAATATTTGAGGTTAGTTTTTGACTGTTATTGGAGCAACAAGATAATATAGTTGGGGAAATTATGGGTGTTCATTTGGATACATTTATCCATTGCATAGGGACCATTATGTCTAAATAGAATTATAATTATAAATAAGATTAAACCCATTAAAATCCAACATGCATTTGGACTATTCCTTTAATCAAGTAGCCATGGGAAACCCTCTACATTGTGTTACACATTTGTTTAGTGAGCAATTTGCATTCAACAACCAACATGATCCACCGCCCTAATATGCTAAACATTGAAGATGATAAAAATATAACATCATCAAAATCATCTCTCTCTCCCTCCCCCTCCCTCACACACATACACAAGTGACATTTTGTTTAGTAAATATTACAATTTTTTTTTAATCAAAGCATCTAATTCGAACATCTTTAGATTTTAAATGCATGCATTAGCACTTACCATTCATTTGTAATGGGTCTAAAGCCATACTTTGAGAGTTGTGCGCTCCTCAATATAGATTGTTTAAGTGACTGGCATGGAAGTTATTGCTTCTTCCTTTCTTTATCTATTATAAATAACTTAAAGTTGCATGATTATTGAGAAGTTTATGTCAAATTCTCATTGGACTTGCTTGGAAGCCAATTTTTAGCTCCAAAATAGATCATGCATGTACTTGAATAAAGAGTACATGATAGAAGCCAGAAAACTCACCTCATCTTTTTTAAAATATAATTTTTAAAAATTGTCTATATGATAAGTCATTATTCACATCTTAAGAAACCATAAAAGATAGATGCTTACAATAACACCATTCCCTAAAAAACCTGTTAGATTATTGACTACATTATCAGTCGAGTTAAAATAAAATTTAACTTAATTATTCAAAATTAAAATTTGAACAAAATTATGACTTATATAGTATGAGTCTATGTCTATCATTTGCTTGAATTCAACTACTTTGAGACACTTATCGGGTGAATAATGATCATATGTTTTTTTATAATCATATTTTATCGTTTTTATTTCATCAAATAATTGTTGTCAGGCATCAATGTCCGCCTCCTTCCATCCAAGGCATAATAATTTGCAAATTTTTATCGAAAAATAATATTGTCTAGCTAGTTGGAAATTAATTTATCAATTTAACTAGTAAAATGCTAAATATTGGGGATGGCAATGATAGGTACTAGTATGTCAAAATTATAAGCAATTGTAGCACATGATGACTTGGATGATTTCAAAATAAATGAAAGTAAATATGTTAAGTTAATTAAAACCTTATTTTTTGTATTTAATTTAATTTAAATTAAATATTAGAAAATATAATAAGGGAAAAAATATTTTACTCCCAATGTTAAATCTTAACTGAAATCCATTGTATTATGTCCTTTTTTTGTATTAATATTTTGGCCCATTTGTATACTTGTTACCCAATTATCGAGTATTTACAACTCTAATTAAAAAAAAAAAATCTTTTTACATTTATACCAAAAAAAAAAAAAACATGGTTATTTTAACTTACAAAAATTGAAATAGATATTTTGATGTATTATTAAGGTGGCAGGTGCGTAAAAATTGAAATTTTGATGTTAGAAATGTAAATACATATGAATTAGCTCAATTAAGTGGCATGCATATAAAAATGATTAATATTTTTATCTTCGTTCCTTTAATTCTAGAATGCGGAAGACCAAACTATATGGTTTTGTATAGAAATAGCACTTCAAATAAAAAATGGGGATTTACATGCATACCACATCAAACATGATTATGATCTATCTAACACCTAAAAAAGTTCATATTTACATACCTTACACCCTAAAGAGCCAAAGCTCGACTCTTTAAAACTTATTGTTATTCGTGTCCGGCTCGTTAATATATCGAGTTCAAATAATTTATTCGATTTTTGACTCATTTGCTTAGCGAGTCGTGCACAAACTATTCACGAATAATTTGTCATTTTTATATCCCTAGCACATAGACTTAGAATGTTAAGGACATGTGAAAGATTTAAATTTAATTATTTATTTTAAAATATTAATTTGAGTAAATTTTAATATAATTTATTTTATTTTTTTTAGTTAGTAATTTTGACTGATTACAATCTCTATAGCCTTGTAGCCAATTAAATTACTTAAATGTGAATACATATATATATATATATATATATATATATATATATATATATATATATATATATATATATATACATACATACATACATATATATATATATACATACATACATACATATATATATATATACATACATACATACATATATATATATATACATACATACATACATATATATATATATACATACATATATATATATATATGATATTTAATTATTTCGAGCTATTTGTTTCGCCTAAGAAAATTATCAATGTCTAAATCATTTATTTATGGAGCCTAAAAAAACTATTTTTTTTGTATTCAATAGATTTAATGAAATAATTTAAACAAGAGCTTGACAGCCCTAACTCCGTCCAATCCTCCTTCCTTGTTGAAGTCGTCGTCCGTCACGAAATAAGTCTCGCCCAACTCGTGTCCCGTGGATAAATCAAGGGTTAAGAAGCCTGTGGTGTCTCAGAATCCCTCAAGGAGCAGGTAGATTGCACAACTGTATACGTTCCACCTCGCAAACACTATCTTGCGTGAGGGTTCACTTTCCCGAGCACCTTGGAAGAAGCCACTTCTAGAACCTCCTTTCCTTTCTTTAGTGAAACAATTGGTGTAATAACGGTGAATCCAATGACAAAAGCAGAAACAATCTTGGGAGCGATCCCTACGCTCCTAGTGGCGGACTTTTCAGCAATTGTAGTATTATTTTCAATCAACACCCTCTGAAGAGGGTGAAATTCCTTAGCAGACTTCAAGTTAAACTCCACCACAGGCTCGACAGACTTGTCTGCTTCAGATTTTATTACGGCAACAGCGACATTCCCGAACTGGCTTCAATATTGTCGAATCCTTGTCCAAACTTAATGACCGCCAAGTCAGACAGCTCACTTTTGCTAACAAACTCCATTCCGTTGGCGAAAGAAAAGATCAACTTTAGTGAAAACATTGTCTCTGTCATTTGAAAATTTTTCATGTCAGTAACGTTCAAGACCTTGTAGTTTTAGCGGCAATACTCAAGTTAACGCACCTGTCTTATGAACTGGGCATCCTTTAAAATTTATTCATGTGAATTTTGTCACAAATTTTTTGATTTGTTTCGCTTTGAAATTTTGATGAAATTTCGTTTTGTTTCGAGTTTAAAAGGAGATTGTGAGAGTGAAATTTTGGTGTTAACTTGTTCACAACAAGCTAAGATCAAAGAGGGATGAAGCATAGGACCCGGTTTAAGAATTGGAGGGTGTCGGCCTCGCATCGGATTCGTTTCGATATACCACTTCTAATCTACCACATCTATTGGGAGTCCATCTCACTAAACCCTAGGGATTCCTGAACCCTTTTGCTTAAGGATGGTTAAACAAACAATCCTAGAATCCAAGAAGAGTTGACTATACTTGCTTAAGAAAGAAATAAGCACGGTATGTCAACAGAAGAACAGCAGTCTAGCCCACGAGGGACATGACCACACTACCGATGCATGAAAAGAAAACCACTTAATCAAAAGATGGAGAGGGGAACTAGACCCTGGCGGAGTCGCCAGAATTTGTCGGCCGTTATTTTTGGAAAGGAATGATTTTTGTAAATATGAAAATAGTTTTAATATAAATATGTGATTCTCATTCTATTTTCAAAATTAAAATATTGCTTTCAAAAATAAAAAAAATCACATTAAAAAATCACATTTAAAAAAATAAAAAATAAAGAGGAGCAAAAAAAAGAATAAGAATAAGAAAGGAAAAAAAAGGGTTTCATAAGAAGAAGCTTGAGGTGAGCATAAAATCAAAAATTGGTGTCTGAATTCTCCCCTGATTAATAAAACTTGAAGAACCCTTTTAGAAAAATTCTTTGGATATTATATTCAAGAAAAAGTTAAGTGATCTCGCGTCTTTTGGTCGGCTATTAATTAACTCAGAAATATCTTCGGTAAATGAAAAATTTTTTAATCACATGATCAAAATTTCTAAGATCTGCTAATCCTCAGCAAAAACCTTTCAGGGATATTCAATGCACTCTTACCTTTGGGTTAGGAACTCTCAAGTAGAAGGCCCAACTCATTCATTCTCAAATTCTTTCTTGAGCTGTGGCTTGAGCTGTGGTTTCCCGGCTTGGAACCCTACTCAAGCTCAATGACATATTCAGTTCAATCTTTGGCCTATTTTAAGCAAGTCTACTTAAACGATTCTTTGGTTTGTTGATCTATTCAGTCAAAACCAATACGTGCAGTGTGCTTGATTAATACACCACACCTATTGGGGGTCCATTTATTGACCTCATTTTGAGATCGTTTCTCCTTTCATAGATCCTAGGATCTAGCTTTAAGGTTTCCTATTAACTATCTTAGAAGACTAGAGCTGGGACTCATCCCTTTTTTAGAAATTCGACGTTTAGCGAGAGGTCTGGAGGAAGAGATAGTAACCAACGCTGATGAAATATTCTCTTTTAGAGAGAGGGTCTTCAAAACGTCGAACTGCTGAGACATTGTTAAACAAGCAATCCAGGTAATGCTTTTGCTTGTATTTTTTTTAAAAGGAATTTATGTACATACCAGCCAATTTTTATATGTTTACATATCTAACACCTAAATCTTACTTATTTTTTTATTCACATTTTTACCATTGAAATTTTTCTTATCATATGAAGGATATTACCATTTAGACTTTTAAAAGTAAAATACACCTTCTCATGCACATGCATTTAGAAATTGAAGTATAGTTGTTAGATTTGTAAATTCATTGGAAGTATGTATGCAAATCTTTCTTTTTGAATCAATCTGATTTCATTTTTTCCTCATTCAAATCCTATTGCCTATTTCGGTCGATCATATTCATTGTTTTCAATCACCATTCATATTAAAGAGGCAACTCCAGAGGGTGAAGAGCTTATTAAATGTGGGAAGTTAAATCTTGTGGACCTTGCTGGCTCTGAAAATATTTCTCGATCGGGCGCTAGGGATGTAAGACTAACTATCATAACTACTTCTTGGCATGCTTGGCATTTTTTGTTCTATTTGTCTAAATTGTCTTGTATTTTTTATTTGGGAAAGGTACTTACATAGCACACAGTTTTTATGTATTTACATACTTCACACCTAAAATTTCATATTTACATTCACAATACTTTGGCACTTCAAACATATGCGTGAAAAGGTGTTTTTCAATTTTAAAAAGTGGTAATTGTGCTACTTTTTTATGTGATATCAATGATTTGAGTGCTACAGTGTAAATATGAAACTTTAGCTGTGAGACATGCATTGAATATCTCTGAGAAGCTGAATTTCTCTAACTGTTTGATAATTTGTCTCAGAGAATGCTTTGGCCCATCAAGCCTGTGTTTTGAGGGCTGACTTAGAGAAATCTATACAGGACAATGCCTTACTATTTTCTAAAATAGGTATTACTTAACGTTGAATGACTCTAGGTGCTTCATCATTTTTCTTTCTGATAGCATCATGCAGCCAACTCCACTTAATGGGATAAAAGCTTGTTGCTGTTGTATAGCATCGCTTGCAATGCTTAATTCTTACAAGATTTACATACATACCACTCAGCTCTTATGTATTTACATATCTATCACCTAAGCTTCATTTTGTAAATACATACCCACCTTGCCAATGCATGAATAGGTGAATTTCATTTTTCAAAGTTCGAAATGGTGGTAATTTTGATGTGGAAAGAAAAACTTGGTGGTATAAATGTAAAAAGCAAAGTTTGGGTGTTAAATATGTAAATGCATAGGAATTTAGTGTTATGTATGTAAATGCCCCTAATTTCTTTCTATGCGCTTGTGGTACAGCTAGAAAAGACCAACTAAATTCTGCAAATAGGTCATTGGTTGACAAATTTCAAGCTGATTTGGCAAAGAGAATCAGTACTATTTGTAGCCTTCTTGTTTCATCCATTAAAAGACAGAATAAACACCTACAGTCAGTTGAGAATCTTAGCAAGTCATGTCTAGATTTTCATGATAAGGTAAATGAAGAAAATTGCTTCGCTGGTTTGTGATTTTTATTTTGGAAAATTTACATACATACAACATAATCCCTTTGTATTTACATACCTAACACCTTTAGTTTGATATTTACACTTATAACACTTTTGTGTTATGAAACTATGCATTAATAGGTGTACTTCATGTGATATTAAATATTAGAGTGTTGTGTACGTAAATATGAAAGTTTTGGTGTTAGGTATGTAAATACATAAGAATTGTGGTATTTATGTAAATGTCCCTTTTTTTATTTTTCAGCACGAATTGATAAAATATTGATTTGTGCAAGCTGTATTGAACTCAGGCTTTAATACAGGCTCTAATTGAGTTGGAAAAGAAGGTTTCTGCATCAAGGTTGATGTACGCGTCTCACACAGAAGGAATACAGAATACAATTCGCTTGCACAAAGCAACAAATAATGCAAGCTTGGAGGAGTTGTCAAATATGGCTTCTGAAAATAGCTGTTCTCTTGATCGCGTGAGTATATCATTTTGCAGTCATTTAGGGGCCGTTTTGGATCAGTTTTGTTTTTTTTTTAATATTTTATACTTTTATTGTTTTATTTATATTTTGATTTAAATAGAGACATGTGTTGCTATTTGATTAAAGGATTGTTGTCTTTAAAACACATTGAACGGTTTTTAAAAATATGTTTATTTGTTTTCAGAAAGACAATTAAAACATATAAAAACACTAGATAAATATTTATAAAACAAAAAAAATGAAAATAAAACACAAATTAAAATTGATCCCAAACAAGCCCTTAAAAATTAAAATTTTGCCATCTACTCAGTATTTATGTTTACCTGTTTTATGTACTCTCTCTCTCTCTCTCTCTCTCTCTTTCTTTTTGAGGTTACTCTCTCTCTCTCTCTCTCTCTCTCTCTCTTTTTGAGGTTAAAGCTACTTGCTCTTGGTGGAGCCGATGCAAACTTGATTTTCACTGATCTACAAGGCACTTTGTCTAATCTCAGAGGAGAACTTGCACAGTTTACAAGGGAGCTTCGTGAGGTCTGCTAGCTCATTGCATCTTTCATTTCAGTTTATATTATTTAGGATGTTTACTTTGCATATTAAAAACTGGAGATGGACATGTAATTTTGTACATAAAACTGTTTATCTGTCCTTCCAGCTTTGTTTTTGAAGTTCTCGATGAACTAAGAGAAAAATCTAATAAGCTTCAATGCCATTCAATTCGGGTTCATGATGTTCAACCCAGAGCATCACTGAATTCCAGAAGGCCTATGAGGTACATTCTTTCAATCATTTAAGCCCCTCTTCTTAATACAGATAAGAGTAAAGTGCCAAAATTATCCCATGATCGGTTTATATGAGGTCATTTTAGTCTCAGAGTTTATAAAAGTACCATATTAATTCCTAGAATTTTTAATATTTGGCTAAAATAGTTCTCATGGAGCTGCAATTTAAAGAATTTAGAAACCAATTTTACACTTCTATAGACTCTGGAACTAAAATGACCTCACTCAGGGGACTATTTTGGCACTTTAACTCATTCAGATAACACTAACATTTCAATACATTCAAGCAGGAGCAGATAAGATCCGATGCAGAGAAGCTTATAACTCAAGTCACAACCTTAATTTCCACTCAAATGAGTCGACAGAAAGCACTGGTGTCAACTCATTTTACATAGTTAGACTCACCTAACTCGTCCGAAAATCGGTAAACTAAATTATCTCCGCAACCTACAGTTTGATGCGAAGCTCAATGGTCTGAGAGATGCTGCTTTGGAAAACAAAACTTTTCTCGACAAGCACACATCGTCGATGGCCGTCGTAACGAGCGACGCGAAGCGAAAATGGGAGGAATTTTACGTGCAGATGCAGAATGATTCGAGGGATGGGTCCGACTTCTCTAGTGTGAAGCACTGTAGATTGGAAGCCATTCTTCAACAATGGTGAACTTCTCGACTCGTTCTCCTCTCCAGCTTGTCCCTATACTCGTGCCTTCTTCCCAATGACCTTTTTTTTCTTGATTTTTACAGTGTTAATACTGCTGATACTGCATCCCAACAATGGGAGAAGGTCCATGAATCTGCCGGCGAAATGAGCGCCAAGCATGTTAAAGACATGGAGGCTCTTGTTAGGTAATATATTCATCATTTTTAATTTTACTTCTTTACACTATTGAACCGCCACTGGATCCTTCCATAGGAACACTATGGAGAGCAATGACCAACATGATACTGAAATTGATGCCTTGCATTTGTTAGTGGATGAAGATGCTAAGAAGCATAGCATGGAAATCATTAATCACTTCGATGGTATGTTGTTTATGGCAAGTATTCGTGTTAGGATTTGTGAATTAGTTGATGTTATAATCTAGCAGCGTTATAGTATTTGTGGGTGCTTAAATGAGTTGAGTTTAAGCGAGCTCGAATGTTGGTAGTAGTGGTGTTTTTATTTGGTCAAAAACTGAAAAGTTAAATTGGGCAAAATAAAGTTGGTTTTTTTATTTTTTAAATCTCAATGTTTGGTTTTTGTTTATTGGTTATTGGTTATATTTTAATTTTCAAACATTGAAAATTAAATGAAGGATTCATAAGATTAAATTAATATTATACATATAAGATATATAATTCTTGATTTTTATTCATAGCCGAATTCTCTCTAACAACTAATTTTTTGTTTTTTCATAATTGAACTATTTGAATCGAATTAACTTTCAGAATGCTCAGTTCAACTTTCTAAAAAATTTGAACGATTCGGTTTTTTTATTTATTTGGGATTTAAGTTGCAATTCGTTTGACCAATTATAATACTGATCATTCAAATTGATTGAATGCTCACTTCTAATTCTTCATCTTCGTTTTTTAAGCAAATGAGCTGAATTTTTTTTATATTCAACCAGTTAGCTTATTGAGTTGAATACAGGTTGCTCACAAATTAAAAATTCTTCTTGAAAGTCATATATAAATTATAGAATACATATTATCATACATGAGCATAATTGTATGAGTATATAAAATTTAAACATATATTTATTTGTACGTTGTTAGCAATTATATTTGGAAATAATTTATTGTTGAAATAATTTATTCCTGTGATAAGCTATGAGGAATAAACTATTTCTTTGTTTCCTTGGATTAGGAGTTTTTTTTTTTTTTTTTTAGATTTTTTTTACTATTCCTGTGATAAGCTATGAGGAATAAACTATTTCTTTGGATTAGGAGTTTTTTTTTTTTTTTAGATTTTTTTTATCTTATGTTATTTCCTCTATCTCCAAATAATTAATATGAATTTGATTAATTGGAGATTTATGAGATATCTTTTCTTTCATGTTATTTTCTTGTATTGATTTCCCATTATATGATTCATATAAGGGTTATTTATACCCGTTTTTATATCAATAAAAATATTTTGTTTTATTCCGCATTATTCTGAATTTCAACCTCATATTAGAGCCTAATTTCATACCGTGACCACCAGTCATCCTTCCATAACCAATTGCGACTCAGTTCAAGAAGGGAGGGGCACTCGGCTTAGTATTTGAAAGAATGATTTTTTTTTCTTTTCTCCCAGCGGGGCCTCCAACAGTTTTTCCTAGCAACCTTCCCCTCTGATTGTTTTTTCCCGGCCATTGGCCTGTTCTGCATCCGCGCAACCCTTCCTGATTTCCCGCAGTTAATTTCTTTCATCTTAGTTCTTGCAATAAATTTCTACCACACCTGACCTAGATCTGTCGCCAACCAATTTTTTGAAATTTCTCAGCCAATTTCGTGGAATTTCCTTGAAGGTTCTGCCGCTGTTTCTTATCGCAGTAAATTTCTAGGTTTTTTTTGTTGCTCCAAGGATTTCTTCAGTCTGCTACTTCCCTTTCTAGGCTTTGTCGCTGCTCCAAGGATTTCTTCAATTCGCTGCATCGCTTTCTAGGTTTTGTCGCTACCCCTTACCGCAGTAAATTGTATTAGTCTGCTGCTCTAGGAAACAACCAGTTTCTGGGTTGCCGCAGCCCCTTCTCTTATCTACAATCATTAGAGGATTTTTTGGAGATGCTTTGTTCCCAAGAAAATCAAGCGAAATGGCTATTCTCATATCTTCTCTTGTTCAAGAAAATCCTTGCTTCATGCTTTAAGGATTTTGTAAAACCTTCACATCTTCTGCCAGCAACTGAGGTCATCATATAATCCACATGTTTCTGAAGGGTTTTTTCTTCTCTAGAATTGGATCAACTAAGTTCTTTCTACAAAATAGAGTTGTGCATAAGCAGAGACTTTGGATCTTGTTTAAGAGATTTCAATGCTGCAATATTGTTGTCTGATAGATGAGAACTATAAATCAATCCTGCAAAGAATATTTGTTGTTTCACTAGAGCACCCAAGAAAAGAGAACGATATAATAATCTCTGAATACATTCACTTCGGCTCTATTGATATTGTCACCTTTAAAAGCCCACTTGCAGCCTGATCCTTTCCTAAAGGATTTTTCGTCACCAGCTCTTCCTCCTCCAGTAGGAATCCTTCGATGGTGGCGTTAATGTCTTGGACCAACAGTTCATTAGCTGGCGGTGCTATGGCAGCCCTCCTATTGGTGGCGATAAACTGATGGATCGGACGAACCTACTGGCAAAGTTCCTTGACCTCCTTGAAAAAAGGAAGACACTTCCCTTGTGACTACAGAAAGATGAGTTTAGGAGTGGCAACGCCACCCAGATTCATCAATTTGTTTTGGAAGAGGAATTCTTAGAGAAATGTTTGGTCGCTTATCAGAGTGCCAACAATGTATGTTTCTCGTTGAGTTGCTGAGGAGATTGACGTAGCAATCGGAGAAGCGAGAAGCAATGGCTGACCATCTTTTGGAGAGGTCCTTTCCGCTGGTTTTTTACACCTATTTCTTGCAGCTGTCCAACTTCTCTAATTTTCTGCGGGTCCATACCGTTGGAGGTGCAGCTTTCTGTAGAGGTCCTTCCTGTTCTTTTTTGGCGCCTGTTCTCTACAACAATCTGGGTTCCTAGTATCCAGCACTCCAACTTCCCTATTTCCTCCAGTTGTCCAGATTTCAAACAGTTTGGCTTCATGGTTTTCAATAGTCCGGCTTCCCTGATTTCCAACAGTCTGGCTTCATTAATTTTCTATAGGTCCTCCTCCGGAGTTATTTCTGCAGCTGACCCTCATCCGGTGTTTTTTCCTGTAATAAGGCCTACCTCCCGAGTCATTTCCTTTTTCCTAAGAGTCGCACCTTTTAATTTTTTCTATATGTTGTCTAATTTTCTGCAAACTCTCCTGCAACATTACTTGTATGAGTCTTCTACCTAACTACAAACAATGTAGGTAACTGTAGTCAAATACAACAACAATCAACGGGAAATCGGTTTTTCCTGCAACAAGCACTGTAAACTCCACTGTATTGTTATCTGTAGGAGTTTTCCGTCTACCTACAGACATTGCAGGAACTGTAGTCAAAGACAATAGCAGTACGAGATGAAGACTTTAGGTTCTACCTCACAGTTTCTTTCTCGTCCATTGTTTGATATTTCAAAATCCAAGTTGAACATAATTTTCAACCTTGTTTCAAATTGGGGAGAAATAATTTATTCTTGTGGGAAGTTATGAGTAATAATTTATTTTTTAAAATCAAGAGTCATTTCTTTTCCTATTTTATATTTATTTTTTTGGATTAAGAGTTATTTTCTTTCCTATTTTATGTTATTTTCTTTATCTCTAAATAATTAATATGAATTGATTAATTGAGGATTTGGGAGTTATATATTTTCTTTCATGCTATTTTGTTTTATTTTCTTTTCCATTCTAGTATTCATGTAAGTATTATTTATACCCATTTTCATATCAATAAAAATATTTAGCTTCATTTCGCATTATTCTGAATTTCAACGTACGCATATTTCTACTTTTTCTTTGTAAGCAAATGTAAACATAATTTACCTATTATTGAGCCCAACACGATTTAACACAAAACCCTACATTTATGTGTTTCAGCCATGTTGGAATATGAGAGAGAATCAGTAGCAGGGGTAATGGAAGCAGTGGAAGCCCACTCTTCATGCCTGGAAGAGCTTAGCAAAGATCATAATAGCATGGCTTCCAGCATCGACTCCTGCACTAGAACTACTTTTGAGCACGACTCCATGGTATGCTAAATCATTAAAAAAATTGGATTATTTACATGCATGCGACTCAATTCTTATGTATTTACATTAGATATGTAAATACATAAGAATTGGGTCGCCATATAATTTGAATGAATTTGACTGTAATGTTTTATTAACCGAAACGCAGGATTATGAGCCTAGTGGGGAGACTCCATTGAGGTCCGAACCAGACTTGCCGAGCAAAGGGACGATCAAATCGCTTCGAACAATGCCGATGGACGCTCTCCTGGAGGAACTCAAGGAGAATAACCCATATGAATCCACAAAGGAGCCCAAACCTTCTCTCATACCCCGCTCTCCCCTCATCTAGTTGAACTAGGGAAGGTATTCATGTTCGCCTTTTCATGCATATATAATGGTGTTTTTTGTTATATTTTTTTATGATGAATTCTGAATTTTGGGAGTTTACTCATCTCCCTTAATTACACAGCGATGTGGAATGTTGATTAGTTGAGTTTGAGCATGATTTGTTGTGAGCTGGTGGTGTAAGTTTGTCATAAATGATTTTTTAGGGTTTAGGGTTTACCTATACATCTTGTAAGCGTATATATATTGATAGTTGGTGTTAATAGCTTTGTGGATGTTTTGAGTATGATATATATCTTTGTAGGCATGTTATTAATAACTAAATTTGAAAATTCTGAGTTATTCTTATGGCTGATTATATGCATAGGAACAATTGAATTGAAGCATTTATGTGTGATGCGTGTCATGGTCGAATTATTGTCAATTGATAGAGAATCAAAAATATGGATTGTGGTTAATATGAAGTTTGATGTTTGAGTGGATTTGAAGAAGGGATGAAAGTAGGTGTTGGTTTTGTAAATATGAAATTTTGGAGTGTTATGTAATCGCTTTGTGGATTTTGTCTAAACATATTCAATTCATGATATTGAAGTTATAAAAGTTTGGTTGTTTTATAAGATTGGTTTCCAAGAGATTTAAATGTAAATTTCTTTTATATTTAAAACTTCGTAATTAAAGACACCGCAAGTAAAAGTAAAAGTAGCATTAACAGATTGGTTATGTCTTCAAGGTTAAAGATTCACACAATTTATTTTTGTATTAAATAGGTGAAGAAAAAAATTAAGCATGAGATGGGTTCTATAAAACAAATATTTAAATGAAGGTAAATAAGAAAAAATATATAATAGTAAATTATACCAATTTAGAGCGGATAAAATCTCACATTTTAGGTTACAAATATGTATGCTTGGGGCACTAGCTTTCATGCATATATATATAGGATCATTTATATACATAGCACCTAATTTCTATCTATTTATATATCTCACCTAAACTTTCTTGCATTTATACCACCCAAATCTTTCATCCCACCATTTTATCTTTTAAAAAACTACATATAATTTTGTATGCATAATTAAGGTGGAATACATATAAAGATTGAAATTTAAGTTATCCATATATCTATCAACAAAGAGAAAATTACTGCATTCATGAGTAGCATAAATGTCATCAATGGAAACAATTATCGCCACATATTGTGATACAAGTGCTACTACAAAAAAAAATCTAAGAAAATTATTTTATGTACAACAGCTTAACAAAAGCCTCTATATTAAAAAAAAAAATACAGCTAACCCAATTTATACTGCAGCCAAATTCAAACTCTACTTGACATAAATAATATAAAATCAATTAAAGTTTTAGAGCTTTAAAACACAACTATATCATACAATTGAAGCTATTAGTTTTAAGTACTAATTACATACAAAACACCCCAAGCATTGCTATTTACAAATATATCATCAATTGTTTAAAGACTCGCTCAAATATCAAAATTCATGATAAAACGCCAGCCCATATTTTCATTTTTATCTAATTCTCATTGGTTTGATTGTGGAATGCTTAAATACTTTGCATCAATAGTAAAAATTTATCGAATGATTGCAAATAGTAATGCTTAGGGTGCTGTGCATATAATTATCCCAAATTTTAAAGATGGATACAATTAATAGATAACAATATAACACTATCAAAAATTCCAGTTCATGCAAGCACCGAAGACGAACCCTTTCAAAAATCCAGTTCATGCATATTCAGAATTTTTAAATCAAATATATATCACTAGAATTAAGAAAATACATATATATATATATATAAAATAACTCTTTCAAAGATCAGGAGTTTTAATCTCCTCGGCTACAATTGGCCTTGAGGAGATTGCACTCGAATTTGAAGGCACATTAAAGGTGGATAGTCTCGCGCCATTCCTTTAAAAAAATAAATAAATAAAATATTATAGAAAAAAATATATAGAGCAAAATGATATCAGAAGTTGAACAGAAAACAACTAAAATAGTCAATAGTCTGCATGGCAACAAGGCAAGTGCTCCAATAAAACAGTCAGGAACATAAAAATATAATTAACATTTTAGAACTGAAACATTGTTTACTTGATCTTCTTCTTAGGCCTCAACTGCAAAGTTAACAAATAAGAAAACATAAAATTATTAAATAAATAAGAGAAAATTACATACATATACATATATTGTAACAACATTGATAGCGAAAAGTGCATTTGGTTACCGAAATTCATCTTTTATTAAAGCATATTATAGCTTAGTGACGTTGGGATTAGCCCTTTGATACGAAGTATTGGGGACTGGATAGAAAAATCTTAGGCATGACAGAGTCAACATGAACAAAGTAAAATCAACCTCTTTGCCGCATGTAGGCAACTTCAACTCTAAGTTCTAAAGAGTTTTGCAATTTTCAGAAAGAAAAATGAGCAATGCTCCAGAAACGTCAGCAGCAATAAATAGTTTAATATATGCCATAGTATGTACAATGCCAGATATAGTCTAATATAATTAAGCATTTTAAGGCTATTTTACTCAAATTCAATAAAAGAGTATTTACACTATCAATAATGAAAAAAAGGTGAGTGAAGATTGAAGCCTTCATAAAGAGTAACTTTTAACCAATGAAAAAGATAAAATGAGAAAGGAGATGATGGCAAGGAGAAAAAATGGAAAAGAAAATTTAGAGTAAGCCTAAGAAGGTCATTCCATATCCAGTTTGGTTAAATTTTAAAAATTAGTCGTCTCAAAATCAGCTTCAAAATAATGCCCATTGTTTCATTTAGAAACCTGCTCATTTGCTCAATATCCAAAGCTCTGACTTGGTTGGTATTCTTTCTTTTAAAACTTTCTTTAAAAATTATCTTTTGTGATCCAGCATGTCTTGATTTTGTGTAGATGGTTCATATATATATATATAAAGGCACTTTATATCTCCTTCTAGAGAGAAATTTGTGCCAACAATTGTGTTTTGATGTTTAAGATCTTCAAAAACAGTTATTGAGGGGGAAAAAAACCCCTTACAAACCTACTAAATATAGTAGATGGCCTTCGGCAAGCTAAAGCGTCGTATTTTTTCACTCCGATATTAAGATTTTGCACTAAAATCATGTAATGTTATTTGTAGGATGATTGTGCCGCCTTATACTTGGTTGTAGGGGTTATTTACAAAAGTTACTCAAGCAAGGTAAATATTACTCAAGCATTGCTTCTGCATCATATTGTTTGGAGGACAAAACACCAACATTGTTGAAATTGATTTACAAGTTGCAAGGGTTACCTGGTTGCTGTGTCCACACTTTTTCTTCCTGCAATTAATAGCCCGTGGATGCAGCCTTGCATAACACCTACAAAAATCAAAATTGAAGTTTAAAATACATGCTAATAATTTAAGGAAAAAAACAACAATAAATTGCATTTCTACCGGCCCACTTAGTGGGATAATAGGTTTTTTTTTTGTTGTTGTTGATGTTGTAACAATAAATTGCTTCTTTAATAAAAAAAACTTTAAATTATAAAGTAGAACCCAAAAAAATACAAAACCACGGTATCAAATTATAAAATCTACACCAAAAACCATTAACTTATTAAACAAGCACTACCATTATATAACAATTACCGATAGTAACAAAAAAAAAAAAACCACAATACAAAACACAGCACACAATAATACTGTAATATACACTCATTAGCTGTATCAAATTGAATAGATTTAATGGGGATTAGGATAATTCAGCATGGAAGAGAATAAATATGGCAGGTCAGAATAAATTTGCCTCAATAGTTGTGCTCATAAAGATTTTTTTCCATCACACATATAACTGATTCATCACCCCTGCTAAAATGTTTTAACATTTTAAAATACACAAACATAACATCATACTAATAAAATTTGCACCGTATCAATTATTTTAAAAAGCAGGCGCTATAATTATATGACAATAACAGGAAATAACCACAAAAACACCAGAGTCTACAGTATAGCAAACCAAAGGATATTGGAATACACATTCCTTAACTAATTCAAACTGAAACCATTCAATTAACATTTGATTCATTCAGGTTGGAGGAAAAAACACGGCAAGTCAGCATCAATATGCCTCGGTAGGTTTGTTCATGTGGATTTTTTTCATCACACATCTAATCGATTCATCATCCCAGGCAAAATCATAATATAATAGTAAAATACGTTAAAAACATTTCCATCTATATTATTACATAATATGACATCCCAAGCTCACGCAAACCAGTCTATAATAGCATTGATCGCTGAAAAGTTGAATTTGCATGGAAACTTCCTCAAAAGACAAATTATTGGTTCTATACTCTTATCAAATGATAATGCCTTCAATGTGAAATATTAATTCAACTGCAATACTTTAAATAATTTACAAGGAAAGTGGGAAGTATATGAAACAGGACATTTAAAAATTTCTCCATTTTCTTTCAAAAGCTAAAAAGCGATTGATGATTAGACAGACAATAAATGCTAACAAATGCAAGCTAAATCTCCTTTAAATATGAAGAGTAATGATCCATTTATACCAATATAAATTAGAAATTGCATCAACATCAAACCACAATGCTAAAGAAAATAAATCTTAACATATTCAACTCTTGAGAGAGTTGTTTAATTCGCTAACATTTTAAGGTTCCACTTATGGAGACCGAGATGTCAGTTCAACAACTCAATCACAGTTAGAATCCATAAAAAGAAAAGTCATCAAAAAACAAGTTAATTCTAAAAAAAAAAAAAAGATCCAGAGTTAAATAAAGAGAGACAAATGAAAGGGTTACAAAGAAATGAACCCTACTTGCGGCAGATCATCTTATCCTGGTTGTATTTCCTAGCAAGGGCCATAAGAGAGGGCTCAATAATACCACCCCTGAGCCTCAGCACCAAATGCAGAGTCGATTCTGTTAAGCAGCATGTAGTGAATAAGATTCCAAAATATAAAATAAAAAATCATAAAAATACAACATATATACAACACCTACCTTTCTGTATGTTATAATCCGCCATAGTTCGTCCATCTTCAAGCTGTTTCCCGGCAAAGATCAGCCGCTGCTGATCCGGTGGAATTCCTGCAAAATATAATAAATCTCAACCTCCACATCAAACGAATTAAAGTTTTAAGAAATAAGAAAGTAATCTATCGGATCAGAATGCCCTTAGGTTCGAAGCAGTTTTTTTTAAAATTTGACCAATGATGGAGATAGGGATTACCTTCCTTGTCCTGGATCTTCCACTTCACATTGTGGATTGTTTCGCTGCTCTCGACCTCGAGAGTGATGGTCTTCCCGGTTTTCACGAAGACCTGCATCTTCACAGCGCGACGAAACTGCAGCAAACCGATAAACCCTAAACGCTAAGCGGCGCTGAACGACGCTTATAAGGCATTTTTGTCGTGAACGGTCGCAATTGCCCCTAGGGAGATTTACAGGCCGGCCACTTAATTCTTATCTAACAACCTATAAATCAATTAACTAAACTTCATTTTTTTTATCAACAAACCACTCGAACTATATGAAAAACATAGGAATTGAGTTGATCAGTAAATAGAAATTAAAGGTTTAAACTCATCTGGCACAAAATTAAAGGCATTTGGACAAATCTCGAGATAATTTTTGAACAATAAATGTTCAAACTTCAATTAAGTAATTATGAACTTCGATTTCAACAAACTTATGGTCAAACTAATAGGCTCAACATGACGGACCTAATGGAATGAAAGTTAGTCAAATATGAGTCAAATTAAAACTAGATCAAGTCATCAAACTACACTTGGAAGATTTTCATACATGTTTGGAAGTCCAAACTGATGTCAAATCTTGCGAGTTCATATTCGAATTGAGTGTCTCGACAACAAGTCCAACGAGCCCAATATTGTTTAATTATGACATTATTAAGGCACCAAAATATTCATCAAACGCATTATGGTTTAAGGAAGTTTTTTGAGCCTTCTGATTAAAATGGTTCATATTCATGCATTAATTGCACTCAAAGCAGTATAAATAGAATCTCGCCCCATTCATGAAAGGGGAGCTTAAGCCTTGAGAGAAAAATTGTGGCTTTGAGAATAAACTGAAGTTCAGCACAATTCCTACCATCGTTGATCGTCGTTGACAACCATCAATCGCCGCTGGTAGCCGTCAACCACCGCGAGACAGTCATCGACCACCGTTGTTGACAATCGTCATTCAACCACCGTCGATCATTACCAATTATCGTCAACGATCACCAACCATACACCGTCAGTTAACATTATAACTTGAAAAATCTAGCAATACTTTCTCGTCTGTGAAACAATGGATTTCTGTAATCATTAACATATAATGGATTTTTACAATTGGGTCAGATTCCATAGTTTTTTCCCTTTGTGGGTTTTTCCGTGTAAAAACTTATGGTAACATTATTAGTTGTTTTTCTTTCACATGAATGTGTGTTGAATTCTTATGCAATGCTAAAATGATAATTCACTACTCTACATACGAGAATTTTCTAGTGTGATATGTAAACAAAAAGATGTTACGTGCTAACTGACAGTGCATGGGATAGAGAAATGCATGACGGTAAACAATAAGTATTTTTATTTACATTATATTTTGTAAATTTTACATGTATTGCCAATAGCTCGACTACTTTCTGACTCGGTTGGTTAAACTCAACGAGCCTTGTAAGGCCTGCTCGTTCAACCAAATTGTGTTGAGGTAGTCGATCGACATTCAATTGACTTTGGATCAGCAGAACGGGCTCGATTGACTTGGTTTTGTCGATCGGCTTACACTCTACCATAAATCCTTAATGAAGGGTTGTTGTTGACCAAGCGATGATAAACTATTGGGCAGATAATGATTCAATTGACTTTAATGATTGTTGTACGTCTTATTTTGGTATTTTATATATGTGATCTCTTGTCTATCAGTTGTATTGGGTCGTCCAAGCTACAAGTCGTCGAGACTGTAAACTGTCCAGACTGTAGCTCGCCCCGATTGTGGGTCATCCAAGCTGAGTTGGCCATCCTTCTAGGTCAGTCGTCATGGTTATGAGATTCAATATGACATATTTTTTATGTACACGTATATAATTGAGTTTGAACTCTGTTCTAATAAATTAAGTTGGGACTATATTTAAAAAAAACGACAAATTTTATTGGAATCATATAGACATGCCTAATTTTGTCATTGGGGATAAATTTTCCAAATATGTAACAATATATAATTTGAATAATAAAAAAATTCTTAGCACATTGTAATAATAGAGGCATTTACATACATAGATACCATCAAATTCATATATTTTACATATCTAACACATGTATATTTGGTTTTACATTTTTACCATATCAATTTTGTATTTCAAATCAAATATATTATTATTTTAATATTAAAATATGTTTTTCATGCATAAATCAGATAATATGTTTATTAAAATTAAGTCTTAAAAAGTGTTGTGAGGATCTTACTTGTAAGTTTCTGGTCTCTTGAAAGTCTTTTCCATCATAAGTCTAGGGAAAATGCTCTTAATTTTTTTAACTCAATTGAACATCTAGTCGATCGAAGCAGTCACGCTGGCCCAAAGTCAGATAACATCAACCAACCGGCTACACCAACTCTGCATAGCTGACCAAGCAAGCTCCGAACCGAAGCCTGCTATTTTGAGCCGACCAACTTAGAAATATAGTCGACCAACTTAGAAAAGAAAATTGTTGGTTTACCACATTTTTCTTTACTTTTTGATGAGATTGCAATCACCATTTCCTGCAACATAATCATGATAAACCTGTGGAAATACCGCACTATCTGCGAGGTGAAAAGGGGAGCTGCGTTTGTGAACCACTGTAGCATAAGCGGGTTTGGCGGGGTTATCACTGGCGAGGGCGGCAGCGTAGGAAAGCCCTGAGGCCATTACC